CTTATTTTCCAGCCGGCAAGCACCGACCGATTTATCTCACTCCTTCAGTGACATGGATTCGTTCTTTGCTTCCAATAAAAAACACAACGTTTTGATAAACCAACGTAGTGGTAAATCGCTCAGATCGGATTACAGAAATGGGGAAACATTTCGATCCCCGCTAATTCTTTGAACAAATGTCCCTGGTAAAGAAACATGTTAGTGATTTTGGAGCCATTTTCTCATACTGGTGCATTTTGAGGTTGTGACATTTGAAGTTAGAACTTTTGCCCGGAGAATTGCCTTCCACCATTAGTGGTAGGTCTTTCCTACGTCAAAAATCTGTCAGACCATGTCAAATTTAAAGTCAAATAAAATAATAAACTGAGACAGCTTTTGTCCGATATGAACTTGAAAAAAGAACACACCAGCACAGTGTTGCACAATTTATTTCGCTGTATCTCTTCAGGTGCACACGCGGATGAGTTTTTGGTGTTAGCTTCGTTCATACTTCTACCAAGGTAGGGTAGGGTCACAAATAATTCTTTCTGTTTGCATAGTTCAGACCTCCATCGTTTAAAAAATATCGCCTCTACAAACTATAGCAAGTGTTCTTTATTTAAGTTCATATCGGGAAAAGGCTGTTTCAAGATAGACGTTACACGAAAGTTCCAGACCTCGCGAAATCATTCAGAGATCGAGACTTCGTTCCCAACCCACCCAGGGTGATACATCACTAACCTATCTTCCCTCCAGTCAAATCGAGAACAAATGGAGCCATCATCATATAGACTGAAATACTGCGTTCAAACCAAGGAAGACAAAAGCAATCGAATCTCAGGCTCGCTTCGAAAGGTTCATGGATCAGTCATCGAAGTTGCAACCAACATCACCTGACGCATTCACTTGGCTCAAAGCGAAGCTCGTAGACCTGGAACATCAATACAGATGCTCACCTTCCAGTAAGACTTGTCTACTGACCAGGAGCCACATGGTGTCACTGCACGAATTTAGAGTGAACGAAAACTTGATACTGTTGCAACCGAATAAGCGATCAGGTGTATTGGTGATGGACGGAAAATGTGAAATAACCTGCAAGATCACACGAGATTTCAGGAATGTAGAAAAGAAGACAGTGTAAATGCCATAGAAAAAGCTGTTTCACATGAGATACAAACATTATTATTAGAAGGCGGATTCCTGAATGAGTTGATCGCCAAGCGTATAAAACCACGAGGATTGCAGACCACACAACTGCACGGTCTCCTGGAGTTTCACAAACCCAAAGTACCATTGAGACCTATCCTGCCGATGACGCGTTCGCCCTAACACCAGATGGCGAAATGGGTTTTGAGAATATTAAAACCGATTACCGAAACACTGTGTTCGCAACTTGACGGACAGCTTCCAATCGGTAGAACTTACAAACCCGACCAATGTGAAACACAAACACATGGTCAGCATGGATGTGGCGTCGTTGTTTACCAATGTGTCTCTGAAAGAAACAGTGACATTTATTTGTGACTTCGCACAACAGAACAACACAAGACGTCCAATCCCGCTATCAGAATGAACAAGGGTAATTCTATTGTGCACATAGAACATTTGCTTCAACTTTCAGAGAAGATACAAATCTGGGAGTAGCCATGGGAAGTCTTTTGGCCCCCATCTAGGCAGATATGCTTATGGCAAGCCTGGAGCGGAAGATCAGCGACAATCTCACCAGAAATGTCCGTACAAACGATACATGGATGACGTGTTGCTCATAGCAGAATCAGAGGCGGAAGTGTTGAACGTATTCTAAAGCTTGACTAACGGACACCCAAATAAAAAGTTAACAATCGGATATGAAGAAAATGATACATTGTCCTTCCTGGTTATAAAAATGCAACAGAGGACCGATGGAAGCCTTGGTCGATCTGTTCGCCGAACACACATGGGTACGGGTCAATATCTGCATTTTATCAGCTTCGTCCCCATCCGGTACAAACGAGGGCTAGTGAAGACATTTTATGGCCGCGCGAGAAAAAAAATGTGTATGCCCGATAACATCGCAGATGAAATCCTTAAACTGAATAGCACTCTCCAGGACAATGGTCACGCGAGGTCATTCGTAAAAAGTATAGCATTGCACGTTCAAAGATAGAGCGTATGGTTGTCCTACAAATACCGTTCAAGGGTGATGATGTGAGTAATTTTTTGGAGCACCTCCTAAGGTCATCCATCAAACGAACATTCAACTCGGTCGAACCAGTTTTTGTCTACACATGTGACAGAATACTGGCTCTTCCAGTCAAACAACCGCTTCCGCAGTATGCCGAACCCCATCAACTGTACAAATTCGTCTGTGGGTACTTGGCCGCCTACCCAGGCAGA